CACACACACACACACACACACACACACACACACTCACTCTCTCACACACACACACACTCTCTCTCTCTCTCTCTCTCTCACACACACACACACACACACACACACATATATAAACCTTTTCATATTGAGCACAAATTAAATACTACTGAAGCGGCTTCACTGTAACCATGGAAACATTTACTATTCGCTGTATTGTATATAATTCATATCTGTGTGAATTGAGCCGCTGTTCCTTTAAGACGCGCTGGGCCCTGATTGGCTGTTCACAGGCACGTGCTGCGTGACAGCCAGCGGCGCGTTCATCAATGATGGCGGCGGACCCAGCGCGAGCGTGGAGCGACGAGCAGCTGAAGAGCGAAGACCTGCCCAAAAGAGATCTGATCACATTCATCCAGGAGAACGCAGCGCACTCGGTAGCGTTACACACGACAGCCTTCACGCCAGACGCTCCCGGAGTCACGCGCATGGCATCACATCTGTTCACATACTCATGCTGCACCCTGCGTTTCATTCGGAAGGGCTCGTCCCTACGCCCTAATAGCCCTTCAAAGGGTCTACCCTCCGGAGTGAGAGCTTCGAAGGGTGTAGGGGACTAAACAACTGTTTCTTGAAGTGCCCTTCTGCGTCAACAGCACGTGTCCACACGGAGGCGCCGTCAGCACGCAAAGGATCACGGGAGCCTGAAGTGTCCATCAGTTGTACCCTTCGAAATCCTTCATTCCGAAGGGCCCTTTGAAGTGGCCACTTTTGAGTGCCCTTCAGAAGGCGATCAATCCCGTTTGGAACGCACCGTTAGATGTGCATAGCAATGCATTACAATTTATATAAATATATACATTAACGAATGCATGCATTTAAATTAATCAGTTAATAAATAATTGCATTAATGTATTATATTTAATAATGCACGTCTTTTATAGAGATACATTGGCATAGCAATGAAACCTAAGTATGCCCAAGTCATTTTATATTTATATTAATAAATGCATTTAATTTAATACATTAGTTTTACTAATATATCTAATTTAGTTATATATTTGATGTGCGTTAATTAATACATACATTAATTAAATGTACAACTTAGTAGCTTTATACAAATATGTACATTAATAAATGCTTTAATTAAATATATATTTTTATATTTACATAACAATGCCATTTAAGTTAAGTGTGCATGTTAAAAGAAGTGTTAGCATTTTATGCTATTGTGAAAAATATAACGTATATATATATACACAGTGTCAAATCAAAAAAGTTATTGATTAAAAATGATATTTATTTATATTCATATTTTAAGCAATGAGTAAATGAATATAGAATTTGATTTGGCAGTGACAATATATCAAATGCCTTTGTCTTTCTTGATTTCCAGTTTCTATCTGAACACAAACTTCTTGGAAATATCAAGAATGTGGCAAAAACAGCCAAGAAAGAGCAGCTCATTGAGGCGTATAACCAGCTGTTTGAGAGCAAGGTAACAAACACACTCAGCATGTGCATGTGAAGGATGATGATTGTGGCGTGTCCGTGATTGCTGTGTGTTTCTCAGAGGTTTAAGGGCACAGACGTGGATGCTGTGACTGAACAGGTTCAAGCTGCTAAAATCAGCGACGCTCCCAAAGAAACCAAGATGGAGCCGGTGGACGAGGTACGACACGCATCATTAGAACGATTCTCCTGTTCACTCGTCACATGTCAATATTTGTTGGTTGGTTGATCTTCAGGGGCCTCCGAAGTTCACAAAGACCATCCTGAAGAAAGGAGACAAGGCCAACTTCCCCAGGAAGGGAGACACTGTGAGCTGCTGGTACACTGGGACGCTGGAGGACGGGACTGTGTTCGACAGCAACATCCCTGCGAGTGAGACACGCATTTGACACGCTAACCTCAACACACATATGACACGCTAACCTCAACACACACTAACCTCAACGCGCATATGACATGCTAACCTCAACACACATATGACATGCTAACCTCAACAC